GGAGTCGGGCGCGGGCGACGCTGGCGATGGCGCCCCCTCGAGCAGGCAGGGCGCGAGCGTCTCCCCATCTCCCACGTCGACCGGCACGGCCGATGTGGGCGGCGGCGAGGACGACAGCCGCAGCAGCGGTAGCGGCGGCAGCGGCAGTGACAGCAGCAGCGGCGGCAGCAGCAGCGCTGACGGCGGCAGCGACAGCAGCAGTGGCAGCGACAGCGAGACGGATCTCCCGGCGCTCCGTGGGCCAGAGGCGCGGCGGCTCGCCCGCTTCGACAAGCCGGCGGAACTCACCAGACGCCGCAATAGGGAGAACCCTCGCCGAAACCAGAGGTACGAGTCGCCCCCGTCGCCGACAAGTGCCGAAGCCCTGCTCGCCTCGGTGGCGAGCCTGCCCGTCAACAGCACGAAGGAGTTCACCCGCTGGATGCTCTCGGCGGTGGTTCACGTGGCGGAGGGGCTAGAGGCGAGGGTGGTGCAAGAGTTGCTGTCCGAGCGCGCGGAGGAGGACCACGCTGGGCGTCAAGAGGCGGAGGACTTCCTGCTGGGTACGGTGGACCCCATGCTCAACTCGCCAGACGCTTCGAGACGGCTCTGGCGTCCCACGAGCTAAGTGAATCCCCCATAGGCAAGCGTCCGAGTGAAGTCGAACCCCTCCCCCTATGGCCGTAGCCGGCGTTGCCAAGTCTGCTTACAGAGAAGGGTGAGAACAGGCCATGAGGGAAGAGTTTGAAGGGCACATGGGCACGGGGATATATTCATTCGTAGACGACGCGCCAGAGGGGGGCAGGCCTGTGAGCTCGAAGTGGTGTTATAGTTGGAAGACCAACAAGGAAGGGAAGATAGATCATTCAAAGCGCGTCTGGTTGCTCGGGGGGTTTCGCGAATCCCGAACGTCGAATATTTCCCTTCGTCTTCCCCTTGCCCCTCATCCGCATCCATTAAGCTGATGCTTGCGGTAGCAAACGAGAAGGGCATGAACCTCAACCACTGGGATATGAAGCAGGCGTACACACACACCACGCTAGACGAGGAGGTTTTTCTGAGGCTCCCCGCTGGGTGCGGGTATAAATCGCATAAGATTGTTAAGGCTGAGCGTGCGATTTACGGTCTGAAGCAGAGCGGTAGGCAGTGGGGGTACCACGTTGCTGATACGCTAGTCGAGAACGGGTTCGAACAGTGCAAGGCGGACCCGTGTGTTTTCCGCAAGATGGTAGACGAAGTCGTGGTGATGATCATCATGATCTACGTGGATGACATTTTGGTGGCTGGGTCTGACGAGGATTGCGAGGAGTTGCTTGCTTCTCTCAACAAGAAATTTCCCACCAAAAACCTTGGAGAGTGTCAATGGTTTGATGGGTGTGCCATCGAGAGAGATGTAGAGGCTGGGACTCTTAGAATCTCCCAAACCGCGTATATCGACAGCATGGTTGCACGCTTCGATGTGCAATCAACTTCCCGCATCCCCGCTACCCCTGGTGCCGATCTAGGGCCGGAGCGAGAGGATGAGGAGGGAGGGGAGTGGCCGGTGAGGGAGGCCATCGGCAGCATGATGTGGGTGTCGACTTTCTCGCGTCCAGACGTCTCGTTCGCCGTGCGTGCCGTAGCGCGCCGCGCCCACGCCCCGGCGAAGAGGCACTGGGATGCCATCCAGAAGATCGTCGGCTACTTAAAAGGAGNGGCTGGGACTCTTAGAATCTCCCAAACCGCGTATATCGACAGCATGGTGAACACTTCGATGGT